AAACACCCCCAAAACGCTGCAAAAACACTCAAAAAATGGCCCAAAAATGTCCCAAACCTACCCTAAAACCACCCTTAAAACGCCCCCCAAACCACCCCCAAAACACCTCAAAAAACACCCCAAAATGCCTTAAAAACACCCCAAACCACCCACCAAAACACCTCAAAAACACCCCAAAATGCCTTAAAAACACCCCAAACCACCCACCAAAACACCTCAAAAACACTCAAAAAAATGCCTCAAAAATGTCTCAAACCCACTCCAAAACCACCCCCAAAAAACCCCAAAACACTGTAAAAGCGCCTCCAAATTACCCCCAAAATGCCTTAAAACCACCCAAAATAACCCTAAACCTGCCCCAAAACCATCCCTGGGGGTGATCCCTGTGGAGCGCAGCTTGGGAAGCAGCAGCAGGGTTTGGGATCACTTTGGGATCACTTTGGGATCGCTTTGGGATCCCTCCCTGATCCCGCTGCCCATCCCTGATCCCGCTGTCTGTCCCTGATCCCGCTGTCTGTCCCTGATCCCTCTGTCCATCCCTGATCCCACTGTCCATCCCTGATCCCGCTGTCCATCCTTGATCCTGCTGTCTGTCCCTGATCCCGCTGTCTGTCCCTGATCCCTCTGTCCATCCCTGATCCCACTGTCCATCCCTGATCCCGCTGCCCATCCCTGATCCCACTGCCCATCCCTGATCCCACTGCCCATCCCTGATCCCACTGCCCATCCCTGATCCCGGCGCTGCCGGGCGGCCCCGGGGGATGGATCCCGCTGCTGTATCCATGGAAAACACTCCCAGCCCTTCCCTGTTGCCATGGGGCGCCTCTCCCGCAGCCAGATGCTCCATCAGGAGAAGGGAGCACAGGGATTATCCTGGGATGCAGGAAAATTCAGAATTCCCATCCCAGGGAGCACATGGATCATCCTGGGATGCAGGGAAATTCAGGATTCCCATCCCAGTTTGGAATTGCAAGTCCCAAAAGGGAAGCAGGTGTCAAAAATCATGGAAAAAAGAAAAAATCCCTGGAGGGTTTTGCTTCTGGAGCCACAAATGGATCCATCAATCCAAAATCCAGCAAATCCAATTGTCTGGAAGGAAAAAAGGGATGCAGGGAGGACCGGGATTGTCATCCCAGGGATGTGGGGAGGACTGGGATCATCCCAGGGTGCATCCCAGTACATCCCAGTGAATCCCAGTGCATCCCAGTGAACCCCAGTCTATCCTGGTGAATCCTGCTGCATCCCAGCCCTGCTCCCACGTGGAGCACCTGCTCCCACTGCAGCAGGCTGGGAATTCCCGGCTGCAGGGTTGGAAGGGCCGATCCTCCAGATCCTCCGGATCCTCTGGATCCTCTCCCCAGCCTCCTCTGGAATTTAGGGCTGTGCTCCGAGGTGGGGCAGGTGCCTGGCTGGGGCGGTTACCCCGGGAAATCCGGGACAGGCGGGTTCCTCACCCCCAGCTCCCTGTTATCCCATCCCTGCTGCTCTGGGAAGGAAGGGCTGATTTTCCTGGGAAATCTGGGTTCCAGGAACGTTCCTTCATCCCTCAGCTCCCTGTTATCCCATTCCTCCCACTTTGAGAGGGAAAGGATTGATTTTCCTGGGAATACCAGGCTCCAGGAGCATTCCCTCGCCCCCCAGCTCCCTGTTACCCCATCCCTGCAGCTCTGGGAAGGAAGGACTGATTTTCCTGGGAATACCAGGCTCCAGGAGCATTCCCTCACCCCCCAGCTCCCTGTCACCCCGTCCCTGCCGCTCCGGGAGGGAAGGATCGATTTTCCCGGTCACGCTGGTGCTCATGGAGCCGGGCCCAGATGCCGGGAACAATCCCTCGCCTGCACGAGCAGGGAGCCCCTGGAGCTCCCAAACCTCTGGAATTCGTGATCCACGAGCATTCCCGCAGGGATCCAGGATCCCACCAGCATCCTCAGCAGAGCCTCCTGCCCCTAAACCTGTGCGGTTTTAGGGCTGGGATTGAGCTGACCCTGCTCGGCCTCAACCACGGCTGGCCTGTCCCTGTCCCTGTCCCTGTCCCCGTCCCCGTCCCCAGCCACTGATCCAAAGGGTGGCATCCCTGCCCAGCGCAGGGGGGTGGGGACCAGAGGGTTCAAAACCAAAAATCAAGCCCAAAACCACTCCAGGATTCCGTGATCCTCGTCCCCATCCCTTCCCTATTTCTGTCCCCACCCCTGTCCCCATCGCTGTCCCTCCCCCTGCCCCGCCGGGAGGGGACAGGACCCCAACCCCCCCGTCCCCTTCGCCCAACTTCGCCGTTCCTCGGGCACCATCTCGTTGTTCCAACCCCCCAAATTCCCGAGGGGACATTCCGAGACCCCCGACCCCTCGGCGTGCCCTGGGAAGGGGCAGCCCCGCGCTCCCCCCGCTCCCTTTTGGGGCTCCCTGGGGCAGCACCGGGATGAGCCGCAGCTCTTGGAAAGCTCCGGGAACCCGGCAGGGCAAATTACGGATCCACAATCCTCCATTTAAATAGAAAATATCATTTTTTAGCGGGACGAGCCGAGCAGAGCCCCCCGCTCCCTCCGCGGCCCTACCTGCTCCGAGCGGCTGCGGCGGCGGCGGGGCCGGGGATGCGGGAGGAGCCGGGAGGAGCCGGGGGGATGCGGGAGGAGCCGGAGGGATGCGGGAGGAGCCGGAGGGATGCGGGAGGAGCCGGAGGGAGGCGGGAGGAGCCGGAGGGAGGCGGGAGCTCCGCGGCGGAGGAGGCGGACAATGGCGGGCGCAGCGCGGGGCGGTGCGGGGCCATGTCTCTGGGATGTTCCTGATTGCACAGAGCCCCAGCTGGTGTCCCCCTGAATGGCCCCGAGATGTTCCTCATTACATAGAGCCCCGGCTGGTGTCCCTTGGTGTCCCCCTGAACATCTTCGGAGTGTTCCCGGTGTCCCTCCTCATTGCACAGAGCCCCGGCTGGTGTTCCCCGGTGTCACCCTGAGATGTTCCTCAATGCACAGAGCCCCGGCCGTTGTCCCCCGGTGTCCCCCTGAATGTCCCCGGGATGTTCCTGATTGCACAGAGCCCCGGCTGGTGCCCCTTGGTGTCCCCCTGAACATCCCCGGGGTGTTCCCGGTGTCCCTCCGCATTGCACGGAGCCCGAGCTGATCCCGGGCCGTGTCCCTCGGTGTCCCCCAGTGCCCCCCAGTGTCCCCAGCACGCTCCAGCTGCCCCACGGAACCCCCGGGACGCTGCAGTCAGTCAGGGGGTGCAGAGGCCGTGGGGGGGGGCAGTGGGGTGCAGATCGGGGTGCAGGCAGAAGGGGTCGGTTGGGGGGTGCAGATAGTGGGGTGCCGATGGGGGGGCAGTCAGTGGGGTGCAGGCGCAGTCACAGGCCGGGAAATCCAGGCAGCCACGCAGTTCCTGTGTACGGGGATATATCGGCAGCACGGCCGCCACCAGCAGAGCCCGGATAGCTCAGTCGGTAGAGCATCAGACTTTTAATCTGAGGGTCCAGGGTTCAAGTCCCTGTTCGGGCGACTGTGTTTTTCTACATATTAATTTTTTTTTTTAATTTCCTTTTTTTTATTTCCTGCCAGGATTCCCCGCAGACGCAACCGAAACCCTCCGGCAGGCAGCTCCGACCGTGCCGCGGGTATAAAAAAGGGTTTTTTGGGGAAAAAAAAAAAAAGGGGCCGTAAAAAAATGAGGAAAAACCGTAACGCCCGAACAGGGACTTGAACCCTGGACCCTCAGATTAAAAGTCTGATGCTCTACCGACTGAGCTATCCGGGCTCTGGGTACAGGGCTTGCTCATTGCTTTTATCAGCGCACAGCGGGGCGGCCGCTCCTGCTTTTTCCAGGAATTTGGATCCGCTCCCGGTACGCGGCTCCTTCCCCCGGCCCAAACACATCACTGGACAAAACATTCTAATTGTTCCTCAAAACATTCTAATTACTCCTCAAAACATTTTAATTACTCCTCAAAACATTCTAATTACTCCTCAAAATATTCTAATTACCCCTCAAAATATTCCAATTATTCATCAAATATTCTAATTATTTCTAAAAATATTCTAATTATCCCTCAAAATATTCTAATTATTTCTCTCCGAGCAGCGCAGCCGGCCACAAACCCAGCCCACCTCAGGGGATTTTGCTGTCTGCACCCAGCGCTTCCCAAGCGCTGCCCCCGAGCTGAAATTAATTCGGAATTTTCCAAACGTTTGGAAAACATTCCCAGCTTGGAAGGGAGCTCTGGAAATAATTCAGTCCACGCTTGTGACAAGGCAGGGTGACTGGAGCAGGAAAGTGTGGGGTTTTAAATGAATATAAGTGGATATTCTGATACCCAGAATATTCTAATACCCAGAATATTCTGATATCCAGGTGGATATTCTGATATCCAGGTGGATATTCCGATATCCAGGCGGATATTCCGATATCCAGGCGGATATTGTGATATCCAGGTGGATATTGTGATATCCAGGCGGATATTCCGATATCCAGGTGGATATTCCGATATCCAGGTGGATATTCCGATATCCAGGCGGATATTCCGGTGGTTGTTATAATGTCCGTTCAAACGAAGCTAACTCAGCTCCAGGACACAGGGACCTTGAGTATTATTTTATGCCTTTATTGTTATTTTTTAAAAAATATTTTTCCAAATTAAAATTTGAAATTTTTTATTTATATTTATTTTTATTTCAATTTATAAATAAATAAAGTATTGACGTTTATATAAGTTTAATCGTTTATATACTTTATTTAGTTAGTTTTAAGTTTGATTGTTATTTATTTTTATTTATTTTTATTTCAATGTTTTCCCCCGAGGGCTGAGAGGACGCACACTAAGTTTAAGAGTTTATATAAATTATTAATTTATTTATTTAATTAATTTCTTTTTATTTATTTTTTTATTTCGGTGTTTTCCACGAGGGCTGAGAGGACGCACCGCCTTGGTCCTCCAACCCGCTAGGGAGCGCCACACACCTACTGCCCCACCACGTCCCTTCCAGCCGCACATCCCGCTCCGCTCTATGGCCCCGCCGCCATGTTGGCCGTGAGGGGAAGCGGCGGCCCGGACCCCGCTAAAATGGAGGCGCGGAGCCCTCAGGGGGTGTAGGGGCTCCTTCCCCTCCCCGACCCCCTGCCCGGAGCCCATGGAGCGGCTGTAGGGTGAGCACGGCGCTGAGGGGACGCGGGGACCCCCGTGGGCGCAGCGCTGAGGGGGCGGTGAGGCGGCTGAGGGGGGGCGGGAGGCGGTGCCGGCGGGAGGGGCCTGAGGCGGCGGCGGGAGCGTCCGGGAATTTTTATCTCTTCCCGGGAAATTCTGAGATTATTGCGATTGTCCCGCCTGGAAAATGAAAGCTTCGGGGTGGTTTAATTGTGAGCCGGGCGAGAAAGATGGATGGGGAATGTTCCCAAAGGCCTGGAGGGACAGGAGAAGGGGGAATGGCTGCAGGCTCACACAGGAGTTTTGGGAATAAATCGCGATTTTGGGAATGAATCCCTCTCCGGGATGGAATTCCCAGAGAATCCGTGGCAGCTTGGAAAAACCTGGCATTGTGGAAGATGTCGCTGGCCATGGAATGGGATGAATTTTCAGGTTTTTTCCATCCCAAACCACTCTGGAATTCCATTTTTCCAGGATTTCACCCCATAAATGCGAGCTGAGGGATTGATTGATCCCACTTTTTTAAAAAATTTTCTTGTTTTATTTGGTTAAACTGCCTCAACTATTGTGGGAAAACCCCCAAAAAAGCCAACTTTTTCCTCCTGAAATAGAAACAAACACAAATCAGGAACATTCAGGGTGGTGGAAGTGTTTCCTTATCCCAAATTCCTGCGGGGATTGAGGGAGATTTGCAGGGAAATTCGCTTTTTTTGTCATTTTAATTGCTCACCTTTGGTTTTCCTCCCTCTCACAACATTTCACAACCAAAGGAGCAGTTCCACAACGTTTTTTTTTCCATTTCTTATCTTTTATTTACCCAAGATTTGGATGGCATTTTTTGGGGCAAAATTCCCAAAATTTGCCTAAAATTCCAGATGAATCGTGCCGGCCACAAAACTCACGTATAAATCAGAATTTTTGAAAATATATTGTTAATTAAAAGGGCCAAATTTAAGGTGTGAAACCCCTCAAGGACAAACTTAATTAATCAGTGACTTGATTGCATCAGTGCCTGTTTAAATCCTCCCCTTCGGGGCTGTTTTACCTAAAATCCCAAATTTATTTTCAATATTTTACTTTATTTGAAAGCTGGAAAAATCGCTGTCACCTGAGCCCCAACCCCTGCTCTGTTCTGTTTTAAACAGAATTTAAAAAACTAATTTTTTCCTTCAATTCATACCTTAAAAAAACCCCACCTAAGCTTGAATAAATTTTAATTTGACTTTTTAGCCACTTGAACAAAAAAGCTGCGGTTTCTCGGGGGGGTTTTTTGGTGGCTCAAAAAGGAAGTTTTAGTCATAAAAAAGGCATTTTTTTTTTTTTTTTTTAGTCATAAAAGAGGCAAATGAATCTTTCCCCTGGCTGGGGTGAAATTTTGGAGTGGAAAATTTGCTCAGCTCATGACTCGGGGGTGATTCACGATTTCCTCTCGAGATTTTCAGCACCTAAAAATCCCCGGAAATCCATTTCTGGATGAAGGTCGGGAGGTGAAATTATCCCAAATTTGGGATTGGAAATATCCCAAAATTGGGATTTGAAATACCCCAAATTTCTGAGCTGGCAGAGCACGAAATTCCTTTTTTTTTTTTAGGAATTTCCACCACGTGGCAGCTTTTCAATGGGGCTATACCCCTAAATTTCTTTATATTTTCCCCTGGAAATATTCTAAAACTCTTGAACAAAACCTTAATTAACGCCAAAATTAATTCCTGATCAAATACGAATATTAACGAGGAGCAAACTACCTAAAAAAAAAAAAAAAATTCTCTGCAAAACCCGGAGGTTTTGAGCGATAAAATCAGCGCTGAAAAGGTTAAAATTCATCTCCCTCAGCCTTGAATTTCTTTCCAGGAAAGGGGAGGGAGAAGAAATCCGAATTTTTTCCCTTTTTTCGGGCTGATTTTCAGCCCAGCCCAGCCGTTATCGGCCACTTTCGGTCCCTCCCTCGGGCGAGGTTTGAAAAAAGCGAATTTTAGAAAAACTCCGGGAGCATCCTCGGGAATTATCCCGCAGGAAAATCCCGGGAAAATAATCCCAGGATATTCCTGCCAGGCAGAAAGAGTCAAGGTCGGTAAGTCCAGCTCATTTTAAAGGGGTTTTTGGGCAATAATGTCATTTTTTTTCCCTCAGAAATTGGTTAAAAATTAGGGAAATATGAGCTGGGAAGGGATTAAAGCTGTAATAATTTGAATTATTCCAGGTCACTGTCAATGGTCCTCATAAATTTAAATATTTGATAAGTTTGACTCTACCCTGTCCAGCTCATTTTCAAGTTGATCCTGGGAAATATTTTCATTTTTTTCCCCTCAGAAATTGGTTAAAATTTAGGGAAATATGAACTGGGAAGGGATTAAAGCTTTATAATTTGAATTCTTCCAGGTCAGTGTCGATGCTCTAAATAAATTTTAATATTTAGTAAGTCCAGCTCATTTTAAGGGTGTTTGTGGGCAATATTTTAATTGTTTTTCCATTATAAATTTGTTGAAATTTAGGGAAATATGAGCTGGGAAGGGATTAAAGCTGTTATAATTTGAATTATTCCAGGTCACTGTCAATGGTCCTCATAAATTTAAATATTTGATAAGTTTGACTCTACCCTGTCCAGCTCATTTTAAAGTTGTTTGTGGTCAATATTTTCATTTTCTTCCCTCAGAAATCGGTTAAAATTGAGGGAAATATGAACTGGGAAAGGATTAAAGCTGTTATAATTTGAATTATAATTTAGAGGTTTGAATTTTTGATGTGCTTGAATCAACCCTTCCCAAATACTTTTCCTTTTTTTTTTTCTTTTTTTTTTCCTTTTTTCCCCATTCCAGCAGCTCAAAGCAGGAGGGGCCCTGGCCAGGATTAAAAATAAGATTTTAGGGCTGATTTTAACCCCAAATCCATTTGCAGGTCGGTGTTTGAGCAGCTCCTCACTGCCAGGATGAGCTTCCCAAATTCCACCCAACCTCCAGGAGCTGGGAATTCCTGCAGGATCACCCTGGGCCAAGCCAATCAGGTAATTATCAATTAATTATCAGCTAATTACCCCTCGCTCCCATCATTTATTTGTGTTATTTCCTCCTCAGAGCGACGATTTTTATAAAATCCAAAATATATTTAAATCTGGAGAATTTATCCTGAAAAAATTGGGATTTTTCCCAGAAAATTGGGATTTATCTCAAGGAATTTGTTCTCTTTCACATCCGTGATTTAGGAATATTTTCAAGGGAAAATATAGATTTAAAATGTCATAAAACCAAGGAATTGTGGCTATTTTTGGTGGTGGATTTTTACTTAAAATATCACAGGTTTGTTTTTTTTTTCCTGAGGTAGGAAAAAATCCTGGATTTAGATTTCAAAATATTGGAGCTTTTTCACCTTAATTTGATTAAATTTATAATATTTAAATTTTCTTTAGTAATTAATCCTCGGGTTTTTTTTTTTTGTTTTTGTTTTTAAGGTAAATTAGGGAACATTTGGACTTGGAATGTTCCCATTATTCAAAATTCCTGGAGTTTTCCTGGAATAAAAAAAACCATCAGAGCAGAAAAATTCCCAAACAATAAAAATCAGCTGGAAAAAAAAAAATCAAAAATTCAAACTTCCAGTTTCTTGGGAGGAAAAAATCCTTCCAATATCAGGGAAAGTGTGGTGGGAGTGGGAATAAATTTGGATTTTCCATTTGAGGAAAATTTAGGAGCTTGGAAATGGAGCCAAATCCAGAAAAAAAGGAATAAATAGTGGGAATATACTGATAATATTGAGAAATAATGGGAATATATTGATCAATGGTGGGGAAATGTTGATAATATTGATAATTGGTGGGATAATATTGATAAATGGTGGGGAAATGTTGATCAGTGGTGGGGAAATATTGTTAATATTGATAAACAGTGGGGAAATACTGATAGTATTGATAAAGAGTGGGGAAATGTTGATAAGTGGTGGGGAAATATTGATAGTATTGATAAATAATGGGGAAATCTTGATAAATGGTGGGGAAATATTGATAAATAGTAGGGAAATATTGATAGCATTGATAAATGGTGGGAAATATTGGTAAATAGTGGGAAAATATTGATAGCGTATTGATAAATGATGGGATAATATTGATAAATGGTGGGATAATATTGATAAATGGTGGGGAAATATTGTTAATATTGATAAACAGTGGGGAAATACTGATAGTATTGATAAAGAGTGGGAAAATATTGATAAATGGTGGGGAAATACTGATAGTATTGATAAAGAGTGGGGAAATGTTGATAAGTGGTGGGGAAATATTGATAGTATTGATAAATAATGGGGAAATCTTGATAAATGGTGGGGAATAGTGGGAAAATATTGATAGTATTGATAAATAATGGGGAAATCTTGATAAATGGTGGGGAAATATTGATAAATAGTAGGGAAGTATTGATAGCATTGATAAATGGTGGGAAATATTGGTAAATAGTGGGAAAATATTGATAGCATTGATAAATTAGTGGGGAAATATTGATAAATAGTAGGGAAGTATTGATAGCATTGATAAATGGTGGGAAATATTGATAGTTTTGGTAAATAGCATGAAAATATTGATAAATAGTGGGATTATGTTTCGGTGTGGGCTATTTTTTGCTGTGCATTTTTTCTGCTGTGGGTTTTTTGGGATGGCTCCAGGTCTGATCCCAGAATTCCAGGGATCCCTGCTGTGTTTTGCAGGTGGTTCCCAAGCTGCCCCTGCTGAGGATCCTGCAGGCTGCGGGTGCCCAGGGCGACTCCTTCACGCTCAAAGAGGTGGGGGCACCTCCCAGGCCCTGCCTGGGGCTCATCTGGGATTTGGGGGGGATTCCCTCCTTCATTCCCTGGGGAATATTCCCATGTACCTGTGGGGGCACTTCGGGGACACTTTTTGGACACCTTTTAGGGGCACTTTGGGGACACTTGGCGATCACTTTGGGGTCACTTTTTGGGTCACTTCAGGGTCGTTCTGAAGGTACTTTGGGGTCGCTTTTTGGGGACACTTCAGGATCACTGTGGGGTCACTTCAGGGGCACTTTGGGGATGCTTCAGGGTCAGTTTTTAGAGACACTTTAGGGACATTTGAGGTCACTTTTTGAGGACACTTGAGGGGCACTTCATGGGCACTTTGGGGTCACTTTTTGAGGGCACTTCGGGGTCATTTTGGGGACACTTTGAAGGTACTTTGGGGTCACTTCAGGGTCACTTCCTGGGGACACTTTGAGGACACTTTGAAGACATTTCAGGGTCAGTTTTTGAGAAGACTTCAGGGTCACTTTGGGGACGCTTGGTCACTTTTTGGGGACGTTCTGGAGACACTTTGGGGTCACTGGGATAGTCCCATTTTGAACTGGGATAACCCCATTTGAACCAGGACATCTCCATCCTCCACCTCAACCCCAAACCTTTACTCCAACACAACCCCCCCATATCTACCACCCCCAAAATCCCCTCTAATTCCCCTCCCACCATCCCAACCTGCAGGATATCCCAAATCCCAGGAATTCCCAGGATTTTGGCACCTGAGGGAATGTCCTGTCCTCTCATGGTTTGAACAGCCAGGTGTGTGCTAAGGAAGGCAGGAGCCCCCCTGAAATGGGAAATGTAAACCCCTCCCTCTGAATTGTTATAATTTTGAAATTAAGAGGCTCTCAGGCAAAGATGTGGGACAGGAATAACAATTCTTTAGTGGGAAAATTAAAAATACAAATGCAATAGTGCAAACAAAAACCCAAAACACAAAACCCTGCCAGAGCCAGAGCAGGAGCTGAGCCCTGTGGTCAGGGTGGTGGCACAGTCCCATCCCATGGGGGCTCAGCCCTCCTGCAGTGCCAGCTGTGCTTCTGCTGGAGCAGGGATCCTGCACAAGGCTGCAGTTTTCCTCTGGAGCTCCAGGGCTGCTGGAGATGGGCCTGGTGTTCCTCTGGGAATGCAGGGCAGGAGAAAGCTGCTCCTCTGGGAATGCAGTGGGCAAAGGCTGCTGTGCTGTTCCAGGCTCAGATTGTATCCAGGTAGGAATGCTGGGCTCCTCCCCTGGGCGGAGCATCTCCCCGTGGGATGATGGAATTTGATCAGCCCTGCAGGGACACTCCCTGGCCATGGACAGAAGATAATTAATAATTAACGGCCCATGAACAGCAGAGATCTCCTGGTGGGAGGATCATGGAAGAAGATAGATGAACAGAAGATAACTTATCAGATGAACAGAATCCAAAGCTCCAGGCACATCTTGCAGCTGTGAACTTTCCCCGCAGGTGATGCATTTCCTGGGCCAGTACATCATGGCCCGGCAGCTCTACGACAAGAGGCAGCAGCACCTGGTGCACTGCGGGGGAGATCAGCTGGGAGAGCTGCTGGGACTGCAGAGCTTCTCTGTCAAGGACCCCAGGTAGGGAAAAAATCCCATTTTTATCCAGAAAAGCTGAAAAAATGACAATTTTTATCTGAAAAATCTAAAAAAACCCCAATTTTTAGCTGGAAAAGCTGAAAAAAATCACATTTTTAGCTGGAAAAGGTACCTGTTTTTATCCAGAAAATCTGGAAAAAATAGCAGCTTTTATCTGGATAAAAAGCTGAAATTTCCCCCATTTTTATCTGAAAAAGCTGCCTATTTTTATCTAGAAAATCTGAAAAAAATTACCCATTTTCATCTGGAAAAGCTGAAAAATTTCCTGGTTTTATCCAGAAAATCTGGGGGGAAACTTGCCATTTTGATCCAGAAAATCTGGAGGAAAGTTACCATTTTTATCCAGAAAATCTGAAGAAGATTGCCATTTTTATCTGAAAATGCTGAAAATTATTTCCAATTTTTACCTGGAAAAGCTGAAAAAATGTTCCATTTTTATCTGGAAAGTCTGAAAAAAGATCCCCATTCCTCTCTAGAAAAAGCAAATCACTGTGATTTTTAGGATTTCTAGAAAAAAGCTAACGACCTCAAAAAAACCCCATAACCAGTGGTTTCTGGGGTCTCTCTAGTTTAAAAACCCACTGGTTTTTGAGGTGTCTCTAGGTAAAAAATTCACTGTTTTTTGGGATCTCTAGGGAAAAATTCCCTCTGGGTTTTTTGGGGCTTTCTAGGAAAAAAACCTCAGTGGTTTTTGACATTTCTCTAGGAAAAAATCCACTGTGATTTTGGGGTCTCTAGGGAAAAATTCCATGTGGTTTTGGGACCTCTCTAGAAAAAAAAAACTTTATTTTTTGGGGGATCTTCAGGGAGAAATTCCCTATGGTTTTTGGGATCCTTCTAGGAAAAAACCCAATTTTTTGGGGTCTCTCTAGTAAAAACCCCCTTTTTTTGAGGTCTCTAGGAAAAAAACCTCCCTGATTTCTGAGATCTGTAGGAAAATCAACTCCCTAAGAATTTTTATAATTAAATCCATGTAAGACCAAATGGTTTTGGGATTTTTGGGCTCTTTCTGGCCACTAAAAGGGGATTTTTGGCCCTCCCCAGCCCCGTGTACGAGATGCTGAAGAGGAACCTGAGCCCTGCTGCCCTCCCAGGTAGGTTGGTCCTGTTCCATAAATGTTGCTCTGACCTGGTAAGTACCAAAAAAACCAAAAAAAAATCCAGGAAAATGCCAAATCCTGGCGCTGCAGGAGGAATAAACTTCTCTCAAAAACTTTGCCAAGCAAATCTCTCGGAGTTTGTGTCTTTTCTGTGTGCCAGGAGCTGTTTGAGTGGTGCCAAAAAACCCCAAATTTGGGTCAAAGCTGAATCCTGAAATCCCATCCTTGACTGGAATTAATATTTTGATGTTTTTTCAGATTCATAGCTACAATTTCTTGCTCTCACCTCATTTTATATTTTGATCACTGTGCTAAAAATTCTGCAAGGCTTTAACCTTGAACCTTGCAGCTTCCCCAGCTCATGGGAGAAATTCAATTAAACTCCATCAAAATGGAAATTTATTCTTATTAATTAATTAATTTATTTATTCAAATTAATCTGAGCTGGGGTGGCTTCTTTGAAACCAGTTCTTGGTGTAGAACTGGGAAAAAAATCAACTCCACTGGCAGAGCAGGTGAATTTTGTGCCACATTTCCCATTTTTTAAAACAAAACCCATGGATTTAATCCCCAGCTGTGGAATTTCATGCCACATTTCCCATTTTTTAAACAGGTAAAATGGATTTGATCCACAGCTGTGGAATTTCGTGCCACATTTCCCATTTTTTAAACAGGTAAAATGGATTTGATCCACAGCTGTGGAATTTTGTGCCACATTTCCCATTTTTTAACCAGATAAAATGGATTTAAACCTTTAAGAGGGCTCAGGCACGTGTGGAAAAAAAATAAATTAAAATTTAAACCGTGGCCGTTTCTGCCTTGGATTTTTTTACAGAAGATTCCTTTTTTTCATTTGGATTTATTTTCCAGAAGAATCTTTTCAATTCTATTTGGACTCTACCTGTAGGAAGATTGTGTGAGTGCTGCTCCCTGCTCCCAGACCAAGCTGTGTGTGTGGAGAGCTGAGGATTGCTCCTTTTCCTGCCGCCGCGGCTGCTCCTGGGCCAGCCCTGGCCTCACTTTAAGCCTGGCTCAGGAAAAGCTGTTCCTAGGGCTGAGTTAGACCTGCCTGAGTGTGAGTGAGACCCAAACCAACCAAGCTTGGCAGACCAGACCTGGGAGTGCACAGGGAGGGAGCCTCAGGCTCTTTTGCTTCTTTTTCCCCTCCCCTTTTCCTTCTTTTTTCCCCTCCCCTTTTCCTTCTTTTTTCCCCTCCTCTTTTCCTTCTTTTTTCCCCTCCCCTTTTCCTTCTTTTTTCCCTCCCCTTTTCCTTAATTTCCCACCTCTTTTCCTTTTCCCCTCCCCTTTTCCTTCTTTTTTCCCCTCCTCTTTTTTTTCCCTCCCATTTTCCTTCTTTTCCCACCTCTTTTCCTTCCTTTTCCAGCTCTTTTCCTCCTTTTCCAGCTGTTTGCTTGCCTCCAGCCCAGCACAGGAATGACTGGATTTGGTTAATTTTCCTCCTCTTCCTTGTCTAATGTTTCTCCCTTCCTTTTCCAATTTCCCCCCCTCCTTGCCTAATTTTCCTCCTTGTCAATTTTCCCCCCTTTTTATAATCTCCCACCCCCTTCTTGCCTGATTTTTTCCATTTTCTTGTATGATTTTCCCCCTTTTCTTGAATAATTTTTCCCCCTTTACTAATTTCCCCCCTTGTCTTTGCTGATTTTCCCCTCCCTTTCTTTTCTAATTTCTCCCCCTTTTCTGATTTCCCCCCTTTTCTAATTATTTTCCCCTTTTCTGTTTTTCCCCCTTTACTGCTTTTCCCCTTTTTCTTTTCTAATTCTTTCCCCCTTTTCTATTTTTTCCCCTTTTCTAACTTTCCCCCTTTCCCTGCCCACTTTTCCCAAGTCTGACTCCCCCAGGCTGCATTTAGGAATCCCTCCCTTCAGGCTGGTTTTTATGGAATTTACCAGCCCCAGAAGGAAGCCTTCCATCACCTGGAGTATTTTCACTCTCTAAAAATCAGATTTTGGAAGGGTTTCTCCCTGTTCCCATCTCCCTGCAGAGCCCAGGCTCCTGTTTTCCATCAGGGATTAAACCCCAGCAGCTGGAAAGTGATGAAAGGAATTTAAAAACCCAGGAATTTCTAAATTTTGCTCCATTTAAAGGCCATTTTTAGGTGGAATTTTCTGCCATTTTCAGATCTTCCCTATCCAGGTGTGATTCCTGGTGGGATTCAGCCTCATCCAAAGGGAATTTTCCTGTTCCATGGGAAGGGGAGCAGGCAGGAGCCAGCCTGGCATCTTTTGTTCTCTCTGCTCAAAGCCAGGCTCAGAAAGATTCCTGTTAATTGGATTCTTGTTAATTTAGCTCGGCCTTTTAATTAACTCTTGGGAGCAGCTGGATCCAGCTGTGTCCAGCCCTGTGCATGGAATTTTCCCTTCTTTGCTCTTTATCTTCAAGCCCAAACCCTTCAAGAAGAGCAAGAAATCCTCAGAAATTCCCAAAAAATTCCTGTTCACCTTCCAGGCTGGATTCCCTGTGCAGTCCTGGTGTTTGAGGAATGGCTTTGCATTCATTCCCTGCAAACCCAGCAGGGAACTGAACAAAAATGGGATTTTTTTTTTGGGTGGATCTGTCATATTTTAACATTTCCCCCGTGGGATTTCTTGCTGGGTCACTCATGGAGATTTCAGAAGTTTTTGGAGCAATTTTCCTGTTTTTCCATTTTTTATTCTCTTTTCTCAGTTGGAAAAGCAGCTCCTTGTGAAACGTGGGTGTTTCCAGCTGAAATGGGATTGGGGAAATTCCCTGGATGTACAAAAGAGCCTTGGAAACTCCAGGGAAATTCACACAAAACCGTGGTGGTTTTTAGGGAACCTCAGGAACAATTCCAAGTTCAAAATAAAAATAATAATTTTTCCTTTTGAGACGAATATTCTAAATTTGGCTGTAGGAATAATAACTTTTCCCTTTAGGAAGAATATTCTGAATATGGGATGGCTGTAGCAAAAAATAATTTTTCCCTTTAGGAAGAACATTCTGAATTTGGGATGGCTGTAGGGAAAAGAATAATTTTTCCCTTTGGGAAGAATATTCTGAATTTGGCTATAGCAAAAAGAATTATTTTTCCCTTAGGGAAGAGTATTCTGAATTTGGGATGGCTGTAGCAAAAAATCATTTTTCCCTTTGGGAAGAATATTCTTAATTTGGGATGGCTGTAGGAATAAGAATAACTTTTCCCTTTGGGAAGAATATTCTGAGTTTGGCTGCAGCAAGAAGAATACTTTTTCCCTTTGGGAAGAATATTCTGAATTTCCCTGCAGCCGCTTCTCCCCAAAATCCACGGATCCCCCCTGAGCAGCCCAGCCTTTCCCTGCAGGAGTGCCCAGGTCTGCCAAGCCTGGCTGGTTGGTTGCTTGCCCCGAGCCCTGCGTGCTGTGAGAGTGGGAATTTCCAGGGAAGGCTTTTCCTTGTGTTTTGCCTGCCATCTGCAGATGCTGCACAGACTCTCCCAAAGGAGCAGAGCGTCGCTAAGCCCAGCCCAGACCAGCTGCAGGTAAACCCCACTGCCCAGTGGGTTCTTTTTTTGTACAGAGCCGCCCCTTCTCTGTACCTCTGCATGGTGGACTGCCAGAACTTTTTGTTGTTGTTGTTGTGCTGCTCCTCACCTTTTTTTCCTGAGAGAAAAATCCCCCCAAAAAATGAAAAAGTTCTGGAATCCACAGAGCAGGGACAGAGCCACCCTTCTCTGTTCTCCTCGTGACAGAGTGCCAGTCTCTGAGCGCGTTGTTCTGGGGTGCAGCACTTCCAGGCCTCAGCTTCTCCAGCCCTGTTTTCCTGCTTTTTCCCCTCTTTTCTCCTACTAGGAATTGCCAAATAAATAATTCACTGTGCCTAGTTAGGATTTGTTTCCAGCAGCTTTTCAGGCAGAGGTGAAAACCTAGGAAAAATCTTGGCGCCTCCAAAGTTTTTTCCAGGTGTGGTTTGGGGTGAAGGCTGGGAGGTGTCAGAGCCACAAAATCAACTTTTAATGCATGAAAAACACCAACTTTAGGATTTTTGCCAAGCTGAAGATTTTTCCCTGGTTGTTCGTGCTGATTCCAGAGGCTTTAAAGAGAAATAGTTTGTAGTTTTTATTCTGAATTATTTCCTCTTCCTACCTGCTTGGTCTCATCCTGCAGCTGGTGCCTGGGGATGGAAGTGCTGCATCCCCTTGTCCCTGCAAGCTCTGCTGGGCTCATTCCTGGATTTTCCTTCCTGCAGCTCAGCCAGGAGGAAGGATCTGACTCTGGGATCCTGGAGGGTGACAGCAAAACCTCAGCTCCTGCTACCTCAGAGTCCAAATGTGACACTTGTGAAGGTGAGGGACACATTTCTGCATTATCACAGCACTTACAAACCACCTGTGTGGGACACAGCAGCAAAATTCTGGAGGAGGGACTCAAAAAAGCCCTGGTTTGAAACATTATAATTAAAAATCTTGATGCTGAAGACTGAGAAATTACAGAGTTCACCACAGGTATTTTCTTAATTTGTGGTCATAAATAAATGCTCTGAATGCAGTGACAGGTTAAGCCCCAAAATCCCATCTCTCATTGAGCAATGCCATGAGAAAAAAATCTTCCAGACCTTGCTGGAGGGTGTTTTAAATGCTGGAATTATCTTTGGATCCATCCCCCTTCCCAAGGGAGGCTCCTGAGCTCACAGAACCCAGCCTGGGCTGGCTGCAGTCGTTCCCTGCAAACCAAGCAGGGAACTGAACAAAAATGGGGATTTTTGGGTGGGTCTGTCATATTTTGACATTTTCCCTGTGGGATTTTTTTGCTGGGCCACACATGGAGATTTCAGAAGTTTTGGGAGCAATTTTCCTATTTTTCCACTTATTGTTCTCTTGTATGAAGGAATCTCAGTTGGAAAAGCAGCTCCTTGTTTCCAGCTCAAATAGGAAAGCTGGAAATTCCCTGAATTTACAAACCAGCCTTGGAAACCCTTGTGAAATTCCCTGAATTTACAAACCAGCCTTGGAAACCCTTCTAAAATTCCTTGGATTTACAAACCAGCCTTGGAAACACTTGTAAAATTCCCTGGATTTACAAACCAGCCTTGGAAACCCTTGTGAAATTCCCTGGATTTACAAACCAGCCTTGGAAACCCTTGTGAAATTCCCTGGATTTACCAACCAGCCTTGGCTGTGCCTTGGAAACTGCAGGCACTGGAGGGAGGGAGGGAGATCCAAGGTGATCCTGGAATGCAGAGTGCTCAGTTTGGGATCCCAGGCTGGAGCATGGGCACTTCTTGGGAATTCAGGAGCTGCCAACTGAATTCCAACTGATCCTTTCTGCGTTTTAAATCACTGCAGAAATCCCCTCGGGGCTGGCTGGGGAAATGTTTGTGTTTCTGTGGTGAAACTTGAAATTAAACTCAGCCTATCCCAGTGCAGGGGCACTGGGGACACTGGGATGTTCCTGACTTGTACATGGATTTTTACCAGATGGGACATCCAAACCCCAAAGCTCTCAGCTTGATGCACAAAGTAAAAAAAAAATGGGATTTCAGCCCAATTTTTTTCTCTGCTCGTGTCTCTTACCCAATGACTTGGACTGTGCTTGGCTCTTCCAGACAGTGATTTGATAGAAAACCTCTCCAAAAGCAAAAAGCCCAAGCTGGACCTGGTTTTTGAGGAATGGGATGTGGCCGGGCTGCCGTGGTGGTTTTTAGGGAATCTCAGAAGCAATTACAAATCCAGGAGTAACGGATCCACGGATATTCAGACTAACCAGGTGTGTAAAAAGGGGCCTTGTGTCCTCTTCCTCTCCTCTTTTGACTTCCAAGGAAATCAAATATTCTATTTTTTTTCTCTCTTTCCCCTTTCCCACTCCAGGATTTTCAGCCTTTTTCCTACTGTGTGCCTTTCCCATTGGGTGTTTGGTGAATTTTAGGGTTTTTAATCGACCAAACTTTTTTTTTAAAGCCCTCAGAGGTGCCTGGATTTCAGGAGTTTTCCTTTTTTTTTTTAATGGGGTGAACATTGCAGGGTGGTGGCTGAGCTGGAAGTTGGAAAAATGGGAGATGGTGAGGTGGAAATTGGGAAACTTTTGAGATGGAAAATGGAGAAAAGGGAATCTGTGAGGTGAAAATTTTAAGAATTGACACCTGTGAGGGGGAAATTGGGAAAATGGCAGCCTCTGAGGTGGAAATTGGGAAAAACTGAGTTGATGAGGGGGAAAGAGGGAACTGGTGAGGTGGAAATTGGGGAATTGGGGTGAACATTGCAGGGTGGTGGCCGAGCTGGAAGAGGTGGAAGTTGAAAAAAGGGGAGATGGTGAGGTGGAAATTAGGAAAAGGTTGGGAAGAGGGGAGAATGGTGAGGTGGAAATTGGGAAAAGAGAAACTTTTGAGGTGGAAATTGGAAAAAAGGGAATCTGTGAGGTGAAAATTTTAAAAATGGAAACCTGTGAGGTGGAAATTGGGAAAAGGGGGGCCTGTAAGGGAGAAATTGGGAAAAGAGAAGCATGTGAGGGGGAAGTTGGGAAAATGGCAGCCTCTTAGGTGGAAATTGGGAAAAACTGAGTTGATGAGGGGGAAAGAGGGAACTTGTGAGGTGGAAATTGGGGAAAAGTTGGGAAAAGGGAGAGCCTGTGAGGGGGAAATTGGGAAAATGGGGAACTTGTGAGGCGGAAATTGGAAAAAAGGGAATCTGTGAGGTGAAAATTTTAAAAATGAAAACCAGTGAGGTGGGAAAAGGGGGGCCTTAGGGGCAGACATTTTCAAAAGGTGTGTCTGAGGGCAGGGAGGTGCCCAGGGCTTTGGAGCTTTTGGAGAGGAAAATGGAACAGTGCTGGATGTGGAGTTCTCCTAAATGATTTTTCCTGTTTTTTTGCCCCTCAGGACATTGACACTGCCATAGTTTCAGACACCACTGATGACCTGTGGTTCCTCAACGAGTGCCCCCTGGACCAGAGCACTGCTGGGCTCAAGGTGGAAGTGCTGGACTGTGAGGAGGTCACAGAAGGTGACACCAAGGTACCTCTGGCACATTTTTCTCTGGTTTAATTCATCCCATGCTGCCCTTGGAAAGGCTGGATCTGTTCCCATCCAGAGGCTAAATCCTGTTTAGAAAATGCTGTCACCATTCCTCATGTGTTTGATGGTTTTCCTGCTTGGGTTTTGGTTTAAATTCAATTTTTCAAGGCATAAAATCAATTGAAAATGAATTAAACTCCTTGCAGTGACTTAAGTGGGTTTCTAACCAATACCTGCAAGAGTTATGAATCAAAAATCATGGAATTAAGTTTGGAAAAGGCTTTTAAAAATTGAGTCCTGCTAAAGACTCAAAGAGGAGAATCTGATCATGTAAACCAGCAAAAGTTACCAACATTCTTCAAAAGAACCACTGCAAAAATGGTTTTTAATTCACTTTTAGAAGTGATTTAATAAACAGGGTGATGCTATAATCCTTTAATTGGGTGTGCAGCACCAGGAAAACGATAAATAGGGAATATTCCAACATTCCCACCCTCTGATAATGCTTTCCTGGAATTCCAGGTGCCTGAGGATGTGTGCTTGGATGAGCTGGAGGATTCCCAGTGCCTGAGTGATGACACGGACACAGAGGCTGCTTCTGAGGTGGGAATTCTTTGGGATCACCTGGGGCTGCAAGGGCTCATCCCACATCTGCTGCTGGTTTTGGGGTGGGAAAAGCTGATTTTCTTGTGGGTTTTCAAAAAGAAAAGTGTCTGGGTGTAGTTATGTTGATACCCAGGCATGGTTTAATAAGATTTTAATTCCGTGTTGTCCTCTGGATGGAAATCTGGAGGGTTGTCCTTGGAAGGGACCTGGAAATCTCAAGCAGCACTTTATAATCACTCAAAAACTCAGAATTCTAGTGATTTTTAGGAGAATTTTAATGGTTTTAGCAGAATTTTAATGGTTCTTAGCAGAATTTTCCAGCCTGGAATAAATGGGGATGTCCCTGGCTTTGGACAGCTGAGTCCTGGTTCTGCACTTGTGCAGCTCCTGCCCTTTTCTGTGAGATAATGAATTAATAAATCCATTAGTTGTGCAGATTCAACAGCTGGTAAGTGATGGGTGAGCCTGCAAAACAAATTCCTGCCAAATTCCAGGAGCTCTCCTCTTAAATTTGAAACCTGTGAGGTGGAAATTGGGAAAAGGGGGGCCTGTAAGGGAGAAATTGGGAAAAGAGAAGCATGTGAGGGGGAAGTTGGGAAAATGGCAGCCTCTTAGGTGGAAATTGGGAAAAACTGAGTTGATCCATTAGTTGTGCAGATTCAACAGCTGGTAAGTGATGGGTGAGCCTGCAAAACAAATTCCTGCCAAATTCCAGGAGCTCTCCTCTTAAATTTTGAGCAAAATATTGAAAATTCTCTTGAAATTAAATAAAAATAAACTGCCCCAACTTGGATTCTTCCAGAGGGCTGGGAGAGAGGAAGGAGAGGAAATAATGAGGGACAGATCTGGGATGAATCAATCCCAAGCCACAAAATGTTGATTTTCCAGCTTACAAATCACTCATAAATAATTTTTTTTTTAACGAGGCTTACTTGCTGCTTTTCCCACACGGCTAAAATGAGGAATACCCAAAAATAAATTGATTTTTTGCTGGAATTTTTGCCTTAAATCCCTCAGGATTGCTGGCAATGCTCCAAGTGCAGGAAATTCAACTCTCCAGGCAAAAGGTACTGCTTCCGCTGCTGGGCCCTGCGCAAGGACTGGTACCGGGACTGCCCCAAACTGCCCCACTCCCTGTCCCTTTCCAACATCAATTCCATGGAAAATCAGGAGCAGGATGAAGGGACTGACGTCCCAGACTGCAGGAGGACAATCTCAGCCCCGGCTGGCCAACCCAGACATCTTTTCCTGGGAGAAAACAAGCCCCACGTGGATCCCAGCAGCTCCATCGAGTCCTTGGATTTGGCGCGGGAGGGGAAAAATCGGGATTTTGCCAAGCTGAAGAAAGAGGAGGAGATGGAATCTTTGGAGAGCATCAAAACCCTGCTGAATCCCTGCTTCCTGTGCCAGCACAGGCCTCGGGATGGGAATATTGTCCACGGAAGGACTGCTCACCTGGTGGCCTGCTTCAGGTGTGCCAGGATGCTGAAGAAGAAGAGATCGCCGTGTCCCGTGTGCAGGAAGGAGATCAAGATGGTCATCAGGATCTTCATGGGGTAGGGAGGCTTTCTGCCTCTAAAGTAAACCCAAAATCTGGATTTTTGCACTCAAACCTCTATTACAGTGTGTGCAGGAGGGAGATCACGATGGTCATCAGGATCTTCATAAAATAACCCCAAAATTTGGATTTTTGCACTCAAACTCCCATTATGGTGTGTGCAGGGAGGAGATCACGATGGTCATCAGGATCTTCATGGGGTAGCAGGACCTTCTAATCCTAAAATAATCCCAAAAAGAGGATTTCTGCACTCAAATCCCAATTTCAGTGTGTGCAGGAAGGAGATCAGGATGGCCCTCGGGATCTTCATGGCCTAGCAGGACCTTCTGCTAAAATAACCCCAAAAATAGGTTTTTTTGCACAAAAACCCCAGTTCCAGAGCTCGGTCTGGAGGATCAAGATGGTCATCGGGATCTTTATGGGATAGCAGGACCTTCTGCCCCTAAAATAACCCCCAAATGAAGATTTTTGCACTCAAACCCCAATTCCAGAGCTCAGCCAGTGAAACCAAAGAGTACCAAGATTTAACTCCCACCAAGAATCCTCTACAGAATCCACTTTTCCATGGAAATCACCTCGAGATCAAAACCCAGCTTGGAAATTTTCCCAATTTCCCATCTTCAACCCGATTTTATCCCTTGGGATTCTTTCTCCTGACCAAGAACAGCACATTTGGGAAAAATTGAAACCTGTGGTTTTTTTCCATAAATCCTGACTTGTGCAATTCCTTTGGAGCCGAGAGTTAAAAACAGAAATAAATATTTATGGTTGGAGGGCAGGGGATTTGTTTTGGAGAGAAGAAAAAGAACTTTATTCCTAATTGTTTTATTGTTTAAGGTCGGCAGGGTGAAGAATTCCTTGCTCGCAGATGGGAAATAAATCCAAGTTTTTAATCCACACCTCTCAGGTCACAAATGAGATGGAAAAATAATAATAGTGTTATATTTTTCGTTCTTTTTGGGCTCTTTAATTTCTATTTCTTCTCTTTTTTGTATATTTAAATCTAGTCTGTGTCACCTCTATTCAGCAGGATTCAATTCCAGCCATTTTGGGATATTTTGGGATGTTCCACCTGCCCTCACCTGTCCTTTAGGCTAAAACAATCCTCATTTTTGAGTGAAAAGTGGCTTAAAAATGAAACACATTGTTTTGAGGGATAAAATAATTCCTTTAAAAGCTCATTTTCCCCCTTTTCAGGCAGATTTTTCCCCTTTTCAAATACATTTTTTCCTCTTTCCAGGTAGATTTTTCTCTTTTCAGACAGATTTTTTCCCCCTTTCCAGGTAGACTTTTCCCCCTTTTTAGGAATTTTTTCCTCTTTCCAGGCAGGTTTTTTCTCTTCCAATGTCTGCAAAATCCCTCAGGCATGACAGCAGTAAATCCTCTGGATTTGACCCTTTGTTCTCCAGCCCGTTCCCAATCCCATTTCCTCTGACATTCCCGTGGGATCACCCACCCCACCCCATCCCTGTGACAATTTTCTCCCTTTCCCAGCTGTTTTTTGGGATCATTGCTCCTGCAGAAAGCAGAGCTCACTAGAGGGCACCCATGCCCAGCTCCTGCCACTTTCCCTTCTCCCAGGATCCACATTCCTGGCTGGAGAAGGTGCTCAGGGACACAATCCCGTGGTTGAGTGTTGGTTGTCCTGATTTCCCAAACCCACAAATCCAAGATTTCCCCATTCCCAAATCCCAGCGGTGCCCCTCGGACCCCTCCAGTTGCATCTCAACATTCCCAGGTTTTTTTCCTGCTTCTTCCCCTCTTCCTTTCTTTTTTTTTTTTTTTTTTTTTTTTTCCCCGGTTTTCCCTTTTTCCCCAAAAATTTTTGGGGTGCTCAGGGACACAATCCCGTGGTTGAGTGTTGGTTGTCCTGATTTCCCAAACCCACAAATCCAAGATTTCCCCATTCCCAAATCCCAGCGGTGCCCCTCGGACCCCTCCAGTTGCATCTCAACATTCCCAGGTTTTTTTCCTGCTTCTTCCCCTCTTCCTTTCTTTTTTTTTTTTTTTTTTTTTTCCCCTGGTTTACCCTTTGTCCACAAAAGTTTTGGGGATCTTGTGGGATCCAGGATCCATCCAGCCCCACAGGGAAGTGTCACCGTCACCATTTCCGTGCTTCTATCCCAAATCCTCCCTTCCTGCTTCCCTCCAGGTGACAGCAGTGACAGAACAAGGGGTGACGCTTGGTTTGATGATCCCAACACTCCAAAAACCCCAAAAAATAACCCCAAACCCCACACGGATCCCAAAGGAAAAAAACCTTTTTGTTTTAGGGTTTTTTTTTAGGTTTTTCTTGTATTTCCAAAGCAGGGACTGTCCAGCGAGGGAGGCGACACTGGGGATGCTTTGTTTGATGATCCCAAGGCTCCAAAAAAACCCAAAAAAGAAACCCTAGGCCCCACACAGATCCCAAAGGAAGAAACCTTTTTTTTTAGGGTTTTTTTGTATTTCCAAAGCAGGGAGTGTCCAGCGAGGGCGGTGACACCTCTGGGGTGTCCCTCGTGCCAGGGGGATGCAGGTTTGGGGTTCCTTTTATGGCTCTTCGCCCACTCGGGGCATTGTCCCTACAGTGTTCTCCGTTCCCTCCCATCTTCCCAGTGGGTTTTTTTTGGGATCCATGGCCAAATCCAGGACCACCAGAGGCTCCTCTCCCATGGATCCTGAGGCTCCTCAAGGTCACGTCCACAAAATCCCTTTTTTTTCCCAGCGTCCGTCTTTTTTTGGTAAAAAACCCTTTCCCCTCTCCCCACCCACCCCAAAACCCCGCTGAACCCCCCAAAATCCATCCTCCCTCAGCACTCCAGGGGTGCTGCCTGCACCTCCACGGCCAGGAGGTGTCCCTGGGGCTGCACAGGATAAACCACGCGCACGGCCCCGGCGCCACGGAGCGATTCCCGCCGGGATCCGGCACGCGCTGCCGCCCCCAGGAGCAGCAGGCACAGCAGCAGCGCCGTCACCAGCGTCCCCTGTCCCCACGGCATCCCTTGGGTGGCCTCTTTAGTCCTGGTGGTCACACAAGCCACCCTGACCGGCGATGCCACCAAGGTGACATGCAGACACGCCCGGTACTCGGTGTCGGGGCGCAGCCGGGTGACGTTGAAGCTGTGGGTGCCCGCCGGGATCCGCGCCGCGCCCAGCCGCCAGCCCAGCGCCGGGCTGGCCCAGGTGAGGTTGGAGGAGACGGCGTTGAGGCACGGCCGCCAGGCCAGCAGGACGTGATGGGGCTGGACGTCCACCACCAGCAGCTCCAGCTCGGCCTGGCCCAGCGGGAAGGAGCGGTTGACCAGCACGCGGACGCCGCGGGTGTCGGCACCCAGCAGGTTGTGAGCCACGCACGTGTAGAGCCCGGCCTCGCGCGCCGCGATCCCGCGGATCTCCAGCGTCCCCTCCGAGTGCACCTTGAACTTCCCGTCGTCCCCGAACGGCAGCAGCTTCACCCCGGCTGGCGTCACCCAGTAAATCTCCGGCTCCGGCTCCGCCAGCGCCCGGCAGTGCAGGGCCACGTTGTCGCCGACCTCGGCCTCCAGGCGCGCCGGGATGCTGCGGGCGGAGATGAGCGGCAGGCACTGCTCCGTCATCTCCCGGAAGGGGACATCGCGGATGTGGCGGCGCTGGAGGTCGGGGGGCTCGGCGCAGAGCGTGGACTGGGGCTCGATGAAGCGCACGCGGGGCCGCGTGCTGTTGACCCAGCGGATGACGCAGTCGCAGCGCAGCGGGTTGCCGTGGATGCTGATCTCCTGCAGGTTGGGCAGCGACTCCACCGTCTGCCGGTGCAAGGCACTTAGGGCGTTGTTGTTGAGCATCAGCGTCTCCAGCTGCGGAAGGTGCTGGAAGGCCTTGGGGTGGATGAAGGACAGCTTGGGGTTGTTGGTGACGTCCAGCTTGGTCAGCTCGGGGAGGTTGATGAGGGCGAACTGGTCGATGGACACCAGCTCGTCCATGTTGTTGAGGCCCAGCTCCTTGAGGTGCAGCATGTTGGTGAAGTCGCTCTGCTTCACCCTCTGCAGCGGGTTCTTGTTCAGATCCAGGAATTTCAGGCCGGGCACCTGCTGCAGAGCCCTCTTGGGGACATCTGCCAGCTTGTTGTCGTAGAAGGACAGGCTCTCCAGGCTCCTCAGCCCTTCCAGGGCGTAATCCGAGATCTCCCGCAGCTGCATCCCGGCCAGCACCAAGCTCCGCAGGTTGCCCAGGGGCCGGAAGTTCATGTCCAGGATGGCGTCCACCTTGTTCCCCCCGACCATGAGGATCTCCAGGCTGGGCAGCATCTGGAACCAGCGGCTGTCCAGCGTCCTCAGCAGGTTGGAGTTGAGGTGGAGCCGCAGGAGGCTGCCCAGGCCGGCGAAGGCGCGGGGGGCGATGCTGCGGAGCCGGTTGTGGTTCAGGTAGAGCTCCTGCAGGTTCCCCAAGCCCGGGAAGCTGCTGTCGGGCAGCTCGGAGAGCTGGTTCTCCTCCAGGTGCAGGCTGAGCAGCTGGGGCATGTTCCTGAGCCCGAAATCCCAGACGTCGGAGAAGCTGTTCTGCGACAGATCCAGCTCCGACAGGTTCCGCAGGTAGCCCAGCTCGCCCTGCTCCAGCCTGGCGATGTTGTTGCTCTGCAGCAGCAGGGTCTGGGTGCCCTCGGGCAGCTCGGGGGGCACCGAGGTGATGAAGAGGTCGTTGCAGTCCACCGTGGCCGCCTCGCGGTAGGCGGAGCGGGGCGTGTACCAGGGCCGGATCTGGCACACGCAGCGCGGGGGACACGCCACCCGCCAGGGCACCGTGGGCATGGCGCTGGCCGCCACCACGCACAGCAGCAGGCAGCTGGGCTGGAGGCCTCTCATTTTGGGCTGGAGAAGGTCACAGGGAGCATCCAGAGCTGGCCACGGGGTGACAGCAGTGATGGTGAGGTGGGGACGGCGCCCGTGGTGGGGGATGCTCCATGCGAGCCCCTGGGAGCGTCGGCCCCGGCCTGGTGCCCCCAAAATGGGAGCTCAAAGTGCTGGGGGCACCTCAGTCAGAGCTGGGCCTCTTCTTCCCCCCCAAAGGAGTCGTTCTCATGCTTGGCTGCATCTTCCGGGCTCCTCCTCGAGGTCATTCCTGGAAAAACAGCAGAGTTGGGTTAGAGGAGGGTTTGGGTTCCTGGAGAACAAGGGGCAGGTTGGGGAGGTAAAAACCTGAGGATGGCACTCCCAGGACTATGCCCGGGACCCCCAGTGCCCTCAAAACTGCCCAGCAAATCCATGAATTCCATTTTATATCCGTGGCATTCACTGTGCCCTCCCATCCCCGAGAATCTGAGTGGAATTATCCCATGGAATCTGCCCAGGACCCCCCAAACAAATCCATGAATTCCACTTTATATCCCTGATTGAACTGTGTCCTCCCATCCCGTGGGATCTGAGTGGAATTATCCCGTGGAATCTTCCCAGGATCCCCGAAACAAATCCATGATTTCCACCTTATATCCATAGCATTTTCTGTGCCCTCTCATCCCAGAAAATCTGGGAGGAATTATCCCATGGAATCTGCCCAGGACCCGCAGCAGCCTCTGGATCTGTGGCTGAGCAGATCCAGAGCTGTGGGAGTTGGGAATAATTATTATCCATGGGAATAATCTTCCTGCAGGCTCGTGGCATTCACTGTGCCCTCCCATCCCCGAGAATCTGAGTGGAATTATCCCATGGAATCTGCCCAGGACCCGCAGCAGCCTCTGGATCTGTGGCTGAGCAGATCCAGAGCTGTGGGAGTTGGGAATAATTATTATCCATGGGAATAATCTTCCTGCAGGCTCTGCTCCCTGCTCCTCATCCTCCCCAGCTCCAGCTTCCCCCATCCAGGAGCTCCAGCCCCTTTTGCAGCCCTCCAGTGGGATATTCCTTAGGGAAAATCATCCCCAAACACCGGGAATTCTCAGGGGGGATCTGGGACAGGTTTGAACCCTCCAGCATCTCCTGCTCCTCTCCCAATCCAG